AAACTCCGGGTACTCACCTTCAGGAAACAAAGGCTGGATCAGAACTCTGGCTAGCTGGAGAAATGCTATGCAATATGATGCGAAGATGCCTATGCAAATGCAATGCAATGCAACAAACATGGGGTCACAGCCCCCACACAATCTAAATACTGCTGCACTGCTGACGGAGTACGGTTGCTCTGAAGAGAAGACCAAAATAATGGGTAGGTTGGAAGTCAAGTTTCCTGCAAAAAAAAACCCCCACTCACAGGTATGGACCTATATCTGACAAGGTACGACATCCTATGCGGTCGTTAGCGTCACAGACTTTCAAAACTGACGATACGATTCCCAGAAGGAGTGACATCATCAAGTCTTGAAGAGGCCTCACTTAGCTAACTTCCAAATGATCGGTTCTCAGAGTCGACAATCCAACTAACCAGCAACCCGAGCCACCCAAAGGGTGGGACAAGAGGACAACCAGAAGAACCTCGTTTGAGTGTAGATTTCGCGGGACACTAGGACATGCAAAGCATGTGCGCGCCCACTAATCTCTACTCTAAATCTAAGGTGCACTCAAGCCCAGGTCCGGCTTAACTCTCATTCATAGAACACCCGTAACACCCCAATAGCAACAGATAATATCGATGAATAAACACCCCATAGACAAGCAAACAAACGCTAGGATTGACTCTCTCTTAGGGGACGTTGGATCCCACATACATAAGAACTATCGCAGTCCTTAGCAGCCAGGGGATGTTGAATCCCCAGCAGACTCACATAGGGAACTATCGCAATCCCAAGCAGAGTCGCCAGCTGTCGCTATTGCGAAAATCGGCGCCGGCTGACAGAAGAGTCGCCACCGTGCGTTATTTATCCCAACGGAGGGAAAGGAAACGCTTGAAGTAAACCTCGCAAAAAACGGGGAAAAGGTATGGTCATCGCAACCAAAACCTGGGTTCGGGAGTCGGTTACGCAAGGGGAAGGTATTAGCACCCCTCACGTCCGTCGTACTCGACGGGATCCACGCTTGCTTGGGTTGTCTAAAGGATGCAAAAACAATCTATCTACGGCTGCTAAATCTAAACGGAAGGGAATTGACTCGATAGAGCGTCGCACTCTATGCCTACGTATTCTCAAGAGAGAAAGTCAGAGTCAACGTAGTTCAGGACTACAGGGGAAATTAGCTCGCCAAGACCTCGCGTCTTGTGCCTACGTACTTCCACACTGCATGGAAGATCAGAGCCTTGCGTAGTTCAGGCTAACTACGGCTAAACAAAGGTATTCTCACACAGCAGTGAGAAAAACAACTGGTTTCAAAGGTTTGGGGACTTATGGGCAAAACTACGGCTTGGTCTCAAATGCCCTCGAGCAAGAGAGAAAAAGGGTATCAATTAGTCGTCAGCGGGAAAGTCTCGATCGCACAGCAGCGAGAGAACAAAAGGTTAGTCGTTAGTGTGCTCGCTAGGATATCGCATCCTATGCCTACATATCCTCGTCTGATACGAGGAATCAGAGCAGCTGTAGTTCAGCTACTTCGGGACCACAGCTCAAATCTCGTTTTATTAACATTCTGAAAAATGATTACAATGAGTGAAGACTGAAAATAAACTCCTAGGAAATACCATCCTATCCTATCCATCTATAATGGAAAAAATCAAATGGAAAATAGTCCCCTAACAAGTGGACTTCTAAAACTACCTCTAAAAGGAAAATAAACTCTATGAAAAAATGTACACTAAAAAATATTAAATCTACATTAATATTTTTTTCTCTTTTTCAACAGTTCTTTTCCTTTTTCTTTTTTCAATATATCTTTCATATATTTTCAAGTATTTTCTATAATTTTTTCACTATCTTTTTTCTCCTTTTTCATGTATTTTTCCCTTCCTCAAATATTCTTTTCTTTTAATATTTTTCAATATTTTTCTCTTCAATATTCTTTTTTTCTATTCTTTTCAAACATACTTTTTTCTACTATTTTTTCAATATCCTTTTCTTTTCTTTTTTTCAAAATATACTCTTTTTCTCTTTTCTATTTTTTTAATATACTTTTCCATATATTTTTTTTCCTTTTCTTTCTATATAAAAGAAAACAAATAAAGAGAAAATACAAAAAAAAAGGGGGGGGGGGGGGGGGGTACAGCTATTACAAGGGATTACAAGCTGCAAAAATACAGTTGGTACAACTGGGCCCAGCCCAGAAAAAAAAACAATCAGAAAACAAACTGGGGAGGGGGGTACTAGCCAAAACGCAGGGTGCATTGCCAAATACTCCAAGGCCCAGCCCATCAACCATTCACAAACCCGCACGCAAGGGGTGCATTACGAACCATAAGGGGTGTACGACCCAAAATCCGTTGGGCTTGAGGCCCAAACTCTCACGGTCCACCCTCATTCTCCTTTCTCAGACAAAAAAACCCTAATTCTTCGTTCCCACTGTTCATGGCTGTCATTCCCTTCTCTCAGCTCTTTCGTCTCCCTCAATCCCCATTACCCTTCGATCTTTCAATCTTTCTCAGCCTCATAACATTAAACCCAAACCTTCAATCTTCGCAGTTTTGCTAGCAGCTTGGAAGATCTCACAGAAGACTCTAAGAGGAAAACGAAGATCCAAGTTCTTGATAAAACATGATGAAGAAAGGAATCCCTGAAGTTGTTGCGTTCATGAGGATGTTCGTGATGGATGTCCTTTGAAGTTCTTGGAGATGAAGAATAAGCAAGCGATTGAAGTTTGACATGGACATTCTTGGAGTTCTTTTTTCTGGAAATCTGATGAAGTTTGAAGATGAACATTCTTGGAGAAGATTTGAAGGATCTGGAGACGATTCTGGAACTCGTGATGAACATGAAAATTCGTAGACGGATCTGATGATTGGTTGAATGTTTTCGGCAGGTTCGAAGGTTCATATGATGATGGTGAACGGTTGTAGGATGAAGATTGGGGCGTTTCTGGGATTTGGATGAGTGTTGAAGATTCTTGATGAATGAGGAATTTCTGGGAAAAATTTGATATGAAGTTTCTGGTGACGACCTGGAGAATTCACGAAGAAGATCGGTGCAACTTGACGTCGGAGGGATGATTCTCAGTGATGAATGTTGAGCAAACTGGAAACTCAATGATGGACTGATGAGTTTTCCGGTGATGACTTGAAATTTCCGGCGGTACCTCCGGCGGCTATTGGTGATGACGATCGGAGATGATGATCGGTTGGAGGAGGATGAAGACGAAGAAACGATGAAGATTGAGTTCTCCAGTTTTCCGGTGAAGTTCACAGCGGAGGGAGTTGGTTAAGGCTGCCGGCGGCGGGTAGTTGCGGGGGTTGCATGGCCGCCGACCATGCAACCGGCGAAGGCTAGGCGGTGGACACGTGGCGTAGGGTAGTGGAGAGGTTTGGCGCATGCGTTACGCGTGTTGGAGACGTGGCGGAGTGAGGGGAAATGAGGGTACGCGTGTCTGCGTACGCAATGAATGTGTGGGGCCCTCTCCTTCTTACACGTGGCTACGCTGAAGCTTTATACACATGCAATATTCTGGATCTTTCTGGAAGATACACGTGGTGCTGACCCTTTTTGTGGACTTGCTGAATTGAATTGGGCTTTACGTGAATTCGGATATTGGCCCACAAGACTAATACTGATCAATGAAATGCATACTGATGGATTAAATGAACTGATTAATGGATTAAGACTAATGAAGTGGATTAAAAGCTGAATTAAAATACCAAATGGACTAAACCAAATACTGAATGGACTAATGAATGAATTAAAAAGGTTAAACTGGATTAAAAAGCTGATGACAATTAAGGACCTAGTTAACACTGAACGAAAATTAAATGGACTACTAATACAAATTAAAAAGATTGATAGACTCAATTAAAATCTAACACTTAAACCTAATCAATCTAATATCCTAAAAACTGATTAATATCCAATTAAACTCTAATTAAAAAACTCTAATGAACCCACTAATCTCCTATATTATTTATAAAAGAAAATCTATTAAAAGAAAACTCTATTTATTCTATTAAGAAAATAGTAAAAAAAAAACTATTTAAATTCTATAATATTCTAAAATTGATTAAAACTATCTAAAATTGATTTAAAGAAACTATCCTATTAAAATCTATTATACCCTAAAAATGATTAAAAAAATATTAAAATCCTAATAATATTCTATATCAAAATTCAATTAATATTCTAAAAAAAAATCTATTAATATTCTATGATATTCTAAAATTGATTAAAAAAACTAAAATCCAGAAAAATCACAATAATTCCCGAAGGAACAAAAATAGCACCGAACGACAAATAACACTGCGAGAGCGCACAAAAAAGCCGGTAAAAAAATCAATAGACTCCGACATATCCCTAAAACAACAGCGCGAGCTGAAAACACCGGGAATAGCACGACTTCCCAAAAAATACGATTCTACTTATCTAAACTGATTAAAAACACCTGAAACGCGAGACGAGGGTTGTGATCCCGATAAAATCAAAACAAATGAAATATGCACTGTATGCGATATGTAGATGCGAATGCGGTCATGCGTCGAAACATCGAGCCAGATACAGGACCCGGTTGGTCAAATTTTGGGGTGCAACATATATCACTTGCAATCAGATGACATTGTTACATCAATTCTTATAGGTGCATATCATAATGACACTTCCACTAGAGATTTGAACAAACCATTGTAACACCGGCAATCCCGGAGAAACAATCTCCAACTCAACTGAATAGTCTTTTATTTATCACCAGCTATCCACCCCAATGGAACCGGGTAAGGCATTTACTTCTTAAGAACTTTGGACTGTAAAGATGGTTCTTTATCTTTCTTCATCTGGGCTGAAGACCTCGGCATAACATCTTGTAGTAGCAACATCCTGCAATATTTCAAGGCCAAAGTAACTCCAACACCATCGAACAAGGAAGCAAAGCTCGATATTGAATGAGTAGCAGAAGGATGCAACACATCTGCAATAAACCTTTAAAGACCTTCTATAGTCTTATACTGACATCACACCAAGTAACGACCTGTCCAAATTGATTGTCCTTGAAATTGCTCCGGCAAACGAGAAAATTGTTGGTTTCCATTTGTGAGTTGCTGTTGAGGTTGCAGCTGCTGATCAGCGTGTGATTTTAAATACTCATTTGATTGATACTCATGCCAACCATTTTGTTTCTCCATCCGAAGAGGCACAGATGGAAATTTTTTCCAGGGAAGGGAAAGCTAACTGTCCCACTATAGCCACCGTTACTGACTTGATGAGAATTTAATTGTGCGTAAGCTTGAGGTCTAGAGCTTAAACCAGTAGTTGATGAATCCAAATGATATCCATCTAATCAACCATAATCACCCGTAATTGGATTCCCAGAGTATTCACCACCTTTTGTGTAAACATAAATTTGAAATATCACAACATACTTGAACTTCAAGTCCGCCTGAGAATAAGCAACCTCACCGTCAGTATCATAAGACTCATTATTTTCATGGAATCATCACTCATATCATCTTGGATAACCTCAAATTGTCTCTTTCCTTCTCCAAGAGGAATGTTTTGCACTTCCATGTATTTTGGAACTTCAATGATGCTTTATAATCACTTGGAAATGGCACACTTAAATGAACACTTTGTACTTGCATCTCAATAAAAACATCTTGATTGAATATTCATCAAACTTGACTTGTACATACAAATCTCTGAATCTTTAGTTAAAACTGAATCATTTAGAATTTGTCTGAATTAATATCTGAGAAAATAAATCCACAAATGAACCACTGATGGACTCTTAATCATGATAACTTGGACCAACATAACACACATTGACCTTGAATATTCACTGCTTGAAAAATAGTTCACTGCCACAACCAATTTGTAATTGAAGCAATCTCTTGATAGTTTGACCAAGATGAGGTCAAACTTCCATCTGATTTAGACTTGAATGGATGTCCTTGCCATCAATCTTCCTGCAAAACCCTAAACACACAGAGAAGGAGAAAAAACAACCAAATTGCAAAATATTTTTGGTATTTTGGTTAGAGGTTAGTAAACATAAACAAACGTAAAGCAAGTAAGAAACAATAGGGGTGGCGAGAGAACCATAAACTATGATCTTGTTTGTGTATGTAATGATGCAAATGAAATGTGGGATCTTAGGGGTAAAAATTAGGGTATTACAGCTGCCCCTATTTAAGATTCTTCTATCCGGAGATATGAAGATTGACATCTTTGTCTCGACCAGATAGAATAAACTTAAATATAACAATTAACCCAATTTTTGGTCCTAAGAGACCACAAAATGATATGATTATACTAATGGTATGCAAACACAAGACCTCTGTGGGGAGAAAATGCCACAGGAGTAAAACAAACACTAGAGCAAAAGAAGAAAAGAGACTCCACAGGGGAAAACAAAAAAAGCAAGATCCTATTCCGATAAAGGAAAGGAAACAACTCAACGGGGAAAGAGATACCAACTGCCAGTTACTGGGCAAAGATATTCGAACCGAAGAGAATAGGTAAAATGCTCCTACTGGTTACTGAGTAGAAAATAAGCGTGATAAACCAAAGGGTGAGAAATATTACCGACTACCAGTCAATAGATAGCACAATAAAGGCAATATACTCAAAAGGCGAAGAAACAATACCGGGTACCCATTACTAGGTAGAAAAATTTGGGTAATGAACTCACAAGGAAAGATTACCGAGTACCGATTACTGGGTAGAAAAATATGTCGATAATTGACCAGAAAGGAGGAGACAAATGCTACCTACTACCTATCACTAGGCAGAAAATAAAGGCAACAAGCTCGGGAGGAAGGATTATCTCTTACCGGTCAAATGGGTAAAGCATAACCAACCAAAAGGGGTGAGAAATATTACCAGAAATATTATCGGTCTAAATTTTCTTCTAATTAAGTATATCACAAGTTTTCAGATAATCCTTGGATCTACCTTCTCTGAAATGTGTGTTACTGTTATTTGAGATTGTTATTCAACTTGATATATTTACTATATGCTTTACTTTTATTCAATCTTGTGTTTAAGATGTGGTTTAGTTTCAAAGTATTTTTGGTTGTTTTTTATTTCAGAAAAGAAACGCAAGGTTGCAGAATACTACAAACAACATGAGAGGCTCTTTGAAGGATACAATGACATGGATACCATGACTGAAACAGGACTTTTCCCCGGAAGTCTTACCGAGGTACATTATTATATTATAACAATCATTATAGTGGCCGACACGGAAGCAGTTGCAGATGTGAACTTGATAATCTCAAACATGTGTTGATGAATAACTTATCTCAAACAGTATTCTCTATTCTCTATTTCCCTTTCAAATTGAATTTCAATGATGCACGGATGGTGTTTGTTGTAATGACTGTCACAATTGGCCTTGGTGGGAATTGTAGTAATTTAGTTGGTTCTTTTGGAAGAGGTGATGTTGCTATTTTTTTAGAAATCTTAAGCTATTTTGATATTTCTACGTTTCCGGTTTTTTGGCTTCGGTTCAGCATAGTAGTGGCTAATCCTATCTTTAGGTGGCAGTACTCAGGGCATAGTTAAAGTTTGGCTCGGAGTGTAATGATTTATTTTCTGTTTGGACAACTTATTTTTAAACCAAACAATACTAACATCACCAAGCACTAGTTGAATCACAACTTAAATCTAATTCACAGCAGCCATTTTAATTCCTTAACACCAATAACCATCTAACCTTTAACACATTTAGAATTGGACCGTTCCAGTTGTAGTTAGCCAAGTTAACATAAGGTCACGAGGAGTCAGCTGCCAACCTAGCGTGTCCTGCGATGGAATTTCAAGGCATTCAAACTAGGCTATTATGTCACAGCAACTGGGCCAAGTGAGCTAATCCAAATTCAATAACATTTCAAGTTAGCAGCTAGAAGTTAACAACATATCCCTAACACATCCTCATATTTCAAATTGCTGACCTTTTACTAACAGTAGCATAAATTCCATTTACCAACCTTTCAATTGCAAATCAATTCTCCATCTAACCTCATTCATATAAACAAAGACATCATCTCCATTCTAAATAACGTAGTCTGATTCAAATGATGGGATCTATCTACTATATAGTCTTCAGAATCTCCATTCTCAAGAAAAACCTGTAGCAAGTACACTCTGTAATTTTGGGAAGTTCTCAGTTTCCACTGCATGGAGAATTAATAGATGAATTTTAGTTTGAATTGGATGCTAGGATTTGGTTGTTAGTTCATCCATCTCAACGATCTTAGCTATAACAAGTACACTCTATAATTAATGGTCATTTCCTTTGTTTAAAGGCTTCAATTTTAGAGCAGAGTGACCTTCTGTTTTGTATATTAGCTATTAACTGTATTATGTTGTTCCCTGAATTCCTCACATCTTCTCTTTTCATAGCATTCACTCTGATTTCTTAAAACATCTTTTACAGGAGATACATTGCAATGGTAGAGATGTGTCGAGTTGTTTCTTGCATGGATCAGCTAATTGTTTTATTGCTCCTGCTCTCTGAGCATATGCTAAATATCCTGGAATTGTTACAGTCATGAACAAGGTACACAAATACATTTTGACATATATTTGTATAATAATGACAGTATGGTGCATATCCTGACAAATGTTTGGTTTGCATCTTATAGCATCGTTGGCGTGTGGGGATCATGACTGAGATGGCTCCCATTGGTTATGTTGGTGTGAGCCCAAAGTGCATTCTTGGTTTTAACAAGGTATTGAAATCTTCAAGATGAGGAAGCATGGTATCGTAAGTATCCAGTTTTATTCTCTTGTTTTTTTCTCATATTTCATTCTTATTTACAGAATCATGGAGAGGAAATATCATTGCGACTTCGAACTGATGACCTCAAAGGTTTCAGAAAATACGAAAGCATCAAGAAAACTCTACTGCATGAACTTGTAAGCTATATCATGCACCACAAGTATCATGTGTTTTTTTCCTTGATCCTAAGCATTTTAAATAACAGAAATAATATAAGGTGCATTTGTCTATTTGTGACTTGAAATTTATTAAACTAACTCGTGTTTCATTTCAGGCTCACATGATATACTCTGAACATGATGCAAACTTTTATGCTCTGGATAAGCAGGTGCATGCACTCTCTTGAGTGTTTGGCTATCAGTCTATTATTCATTTTGATTTATTGCCTTGCTGATTTAATTTTATTTTCTTTGCAGTTAAATCAAGAAGCTGCTAGTTTAGATTGGACCAGATCTGCAGGCCACACTTTGAGTGAAGTGAGGAGTTCTGAAATCTATGAAGATGATTTTATGGCTGAGGACAGTAACAATATTCCTCAGAACCTTGGTGGTAATAGGTCAGACCAGCTAATGAGTGCTCGTGAATCTTCAGTTACTGTTGCTTACTATATGATGGCTAGTGTTATCTCTAACAAGCTGGGAGAGTCTGAAGTAAATCAAGAGCCGGACCGTGATCATTCCAATGCTAACATCAGAGAAAACCCTGATCATATGGAATCGTCCTCCGAAGAAATTAAAAATACTGACACACCCATCATTATTGACGAAGGACTTAATGAGCCCGACCCCGATGATCAAATTAAAAATGGAATGAAACATGAACCTGGTCCTGGTGATTCTTATCATGGTAAAGCTATTATTTTTTACGTTTGTCCAGAAAATACTGATAGTAGGATTGTATTTGGCCAAAAGCCTATTGTTTTATTGGTGTAGCAGAACATTTGCATTCTCAGACAGGTACAATGAATATGGATGCAACTTATCCTGATGCAAATGATTCAGAAACATCGTTAAAGTCTATTGCTCCAGCCATTGGTAAGTATTCTCTAACAATAGGTTGTAATTGTTTTATGTGCTAAATTTCCTGGATTAACTCCATGTAAGTTGTAATTGTCTCACAGATTTGAGTTCAATGAGTAAACTACAACTTAACACTTGCAGTGCATATGCAAGTGGTTTTTTGTAGGGTATTAGTGAAAAATCTTATTTGAATGTTGTATAATTTACCTATAATGTAAAGTGTCATTAATCATCAAATGCTGGCAAAATGTCTAAACCCATCCGATAATGGAAAATCTCATAATATGTACAACGTTTTCTCAGCAGAAATGCTGCAGTGGTAGCAACAATTGTTACTTGCCTTAATTATGTTTTTGATGTCTGCAAATGTATTGTATTTTGA